ACAGCGAGTACGTGGTTTCGTGGAAACGCTGACATTTAGCCTGTCATTAAAGCATATTCCAGTATGTCCGGAAATGTCTCTGGTTGTTCCTTTCTGGGCTGAATCCAGATCAGCAAGGTCAATTTTAGAATGTTGTTTCCACCATTTCAAACTATATTTCAATATTTCAGTTGAGGTCTATTAAGGGCAGTGACCAATTTTAATATAACACCAGTTGATTTGACAATAACACTATTAAATATACATCCAAACATTCTGTTTGTTTATTTTGATATTTCTTCCTCGTATTGTCTAGAAGTTGTAAGATGTAAATGTCAACACAAACACCTACAGTATGCCTTTTTCATAACTTGCTTCTTCAAGGGCAGTATTTCCAGCTTTTATATTTTTATTACCTGGATGTATCACTCTGCATTTGTTGTTAAATGTCAGGCGTATGACATCTCCTGAATTTTATTTAAGCCATTCGGAATATCCTTTGGCACTTAGTTTGATAATCCAGAGAACTTTTATTTGTTTACTAAGTAATTGCTTAGAATCGATAAGTAGATTGATATAAACTACATTGCCCCAGTCAGAGAACTCACCTATTATTTGAACTGTTTTCTATCCCTTAGCCAGCTGTCAATTCAAACACATTCATTACATTGGATGGCTACTGCCCACGATTTTAGATTTGTTAACAAGGAACATTATCAAAAGCCTTCTGAAAATCTATATCCATCGGTGCCGAACTGTAATAAGATCTTAACATGATATCTGGATATATATTGAATATCTTATAGAGTGATATTGCCATACAGCTGATCCTCTAATTATTCTGTAATTTAATGGTTCAGTTTTTCTTTGCCCTTTCTGTGAATACATTCCTATTTCTAAAATGCTGGGGGGGTTGTTAAAAAAACATACATTTCACCTGGGTGTCACAACAGTACAGTGGATAGCATGGTGCCCCGGTTTCCATTCCAGCAGGGCTATCTGTGTGGAGTTAGCATGTTCTCCCTGTGTTTGCATGGGTTTCCCAGAATAAGGCATAATCGGCTCAAATCGGTGTGTTTGTGTCTCTGTGGATCAGCGGCCCATTCCGAGTGTAACCTTCCGTGCGCCCAGTGCTTCCCAGAATCAGTTCCAGCTCCCCCACAACCCTGAACTGGAAAAAAGGGGTTAAAAAATGGACGGATGGATAACTTTCACCTTTAGTATAAGACTACTCGCTTTGTTTCCGCCGAAACATGTTCTGCTTATTTTACTTCTTCATCTCCGGGGTCTGCTCAGTTTATTCGCCGTGACAATTAAAAAAAAAAACACTCTAATTAGAGCTCTCCTAACCTTGAACAGTTTACAGTGAGCCCCTCTCATTAGTTTGCATTTAGTTTGCATATTTGAACAAGTGAAATCCTGCCGGAGGCGGCGGGAGTTTATTATTTTTGCTCCACTTCTGAGCGGGAGCTTTGGAGTGTCTCCGGGAAGCGGCAGTAAACACAAAGCCCTCCTGGGAACTGCTCTCGGAGCCGGAGAACCTCGACACATCTCCTCCTCCTCCTCCTCCAGCACTGCCGCTACGGCCGCCGACTCTTTTCGCGTCTTGCGTTCGGTGCCGAATTGGCAATTTAACGAGCACAGCGCGACCGTGTTTCTCAGCCTGAGATCTGTGGGAAAAAGTAGTGTGTGGGCAGATCGGGCTCAGCCGGTGAACATGAGCGTCGTTTTTCTCTAACGGATTCTCTTAAGTGTTCTCTCACCTTACGAACAGTGCGCTGCCCCTTCTATACCTGCATCACTGTATCGAAACTAGGCAGTCTTGTTGTTATTCATGTAACACATGATTTCAATAGGATTTATTTGATTAAAAGTCTCTGTGGTTCAAGAGACTTTGTAAGGATATCAGAGGTTTTCTTTCTGGGAGTGAGAGCAGTAATAGCAACAGCAGAAGAAAAATAATAATAAGTCACCTTTTTTCCCACTCATACAAACCTCCAATTAGGAACAATAATAATTACAATCCTTTTTATTTATATATATTGCCTTTAAAACCAATCATGAATACTTCAGTACATTAAAATTAGATAATTAAAGTAAGCCAAAAATAAGCTCAAAATTAAAGCCAAAAAGATTGAAGTATATACAGAAGATAAAACAATCATTGAAAAGCTTTCTGAAAAAGTAAGTTTTAGACTACACTTAAAAGTGCCTGATGTGGCTGAGGCTGTAATATGTTTTGGTGTGCTGATGGTGTGCAAGGGAGCCATGCTAACAACCCACTAA